CTTTGTTTTGAGGATTGCAAAACATTATTTATATAAGATGCATAGCCTGGTATCCAGCATGATAAGTGCTCAATAAATGCTAGCTATCATTGTTGATGCTAACTCTGTAGCCTTGCCATGGACTCACTTCCTATTGTGAGCATCAGATTCTGAATGTTTAAGTGGCAGCAAGCTAGATTATGATCTTGAGATCACTTTCAGCTTAATGATTTTTAGGTTGTAGAGGACATCTGAGAGGCAATTACTTCACTCCAAAATCTGGCTTTCAGGTTTTGGAATATTTTCTGCTATCTGACTTTTGAAATGAAAGCACCTTGAGGAGCTTGATTTAAAAACAATGTTAAATATAGCACTTGCATTATTGACACCATTAACTAGTCAGTCAGACAGATTACTGATAATCTGAGCCAAAGTAATTTGCCTGACAAAGTTATTGCTAATCTGAGTCAAATGTTAAATCCACTGCCTTTTAAAAAGCTATTGTGTTAAGGAGCTAGATGAACTTTCATGAACAAATGAAGATCACGGCTTAGACACATATGGCATACATTTGCTCTAGCTGAGAGACAGAAATCACAAAATGAATGGGATATTAGAATCAAATCTCAATATCAATTCCTATTTTTTCTAAATTAGAATGGTTTATTTCTGAACTGCAGCCACCTTTTTCCATGCTCTCTAGTAACACAATTTATTTTATTGGCAGGGAAATATCTATTAAGAATGTCACATCTGTCTCTCTGCCACATGGATTATATCAGTTCTGACCAGGGAATGTCGACTCAGGCCATGGTGCTAGATAGTCAGGCATGGAATTAGGAATAAGAACTGGTCTGAGTTATCACAGAAGGAAATGCATAAGTATTCAACTAAACATAAAATATGGCAGAAAGTTGCAGATTTCATATTAGTGAGGTAAGGAAGGTGAATGGAGGAGTTAAAGGAGAAATAAATGAATTCTAATTTGGAAGATTGTGGAGAACTTCACACAAGTGACATTTCTGGTACAGTTTGAATTCAATAAGTCCTTAGTAACTCTTTACTATTAGGTATTTCTCTAGGTTCCCAGAATAGCTCAGTGAATAAAAGACATGAAAACAAGCCTTCCCACGTGAAGCTTATATTCTGGTAGGGAGGAAGGAAATTAGGGAAACAAAATTAATAAGTAGAAAGTAATAGAAGCTAAAGATTAATAAAGGGTACAGAGAATACTAGGGGCTAGGAAAGCTTTCCATGAAAGATGAAAATTCAGCAAAGATTTCATACAGGTTAAGGAGTAACCCACATGGATGGCTGGGGATGAGGACATTCTAGGCACATCATGCAGCAAGTGTAAATCTAGGCAGTGAGGAGGACTTGAGGTATATTTAGGAAACCCAAGGAGGCCAGCAGAACTAGAGAGGAGTGAACAAATAGGAGAATAGTAAGAGTAATAAGGAGGGTAGAAAGAAAGCAAGGGACTAGGGCAGCAAAGGTTTCTGCTACTTCTCTGATGTAGCAAAACCCTCAATGGAGGGTTTTGAAGTGGAGAAAGGATAGAGGTGAACTTAAGTTTTACAAAGTTGACTCAACTGCTATGGTAACATTGGACTTTTCAGGTCATTAGAACAGTTCACTTACAGGAGGAAAGGGAAAGAAATGATAGGCTCCCCAGCCTATCATTTGGTTTTTGATTTTAGTTTTTCTTGTGAAAATTGAAGCTGTACAAAACTAGAATACCATGATAAACCTCTTTATTGCCATCTCTTAGCTCAATACATGAAATTATAACCAATATTTCTGTATTATTTTATAGCAAACACCAGGTATCATATTTTATGAATTCAGGGCATAGTTTGATGATACTGAAGACTTAATGATATATGATGTAATAAAAGAAGAATTATTCAAATGACTTTGGCTTAGTGAGAGAGATGAAGATTTCAATGAGATTAGTGAAAACTCTGTGTGTGATAAATATTTGGAGGGAACATGTTGAAGTAGAAGAAAAGAAGGTACTTTGTTTTCTCATAAGTTCTAGGTGCCGGGGGATATCTTGAGAAATCAAGTAAGAAATTTGATGTATGAGTCTGGATAGCAGATAAAAAGAATCAGAAATACAAATTTGGAAGACATCAACTCATTGATAGAATATAAAGCCATGAAGTGGTTGAAGAGAAATGTCTAAGGCCTGAGTATTGGAAGAATTCAATAGTCACAGATCAGAGAGATTGATAATTACATGTGAAAGAGTCTAGAAATGATGGCAGTAGGGGTTGGAGTAGCTTTAATAGAAATCAAATGAAAATTGACCATCATGAAAAGGGTGGTGTCAAGTGTGACAAAACTTGCTAATGGTCAAGTAAACTGAGGACCAAGAATTAACTATTGGGTTCAGCAACATGGAGGTCATTGGTGGCCTTGATGATAGAGCAGCTTTGGTCATATTTCAAATCATGACAGAAATATGAGGTAATATACTGGGGTGAAGTGAGCTAATTGAAGAAATATTGGCTTGAAAGGCAGTAGAGAATGGAGCAGCAGAGGAGAGAGAACTGGAAGAATGTGTTACAATGGAAGATACAACTCCATTATTATATGGTGATAGATATGGTGCTCCTGGAGGGGAAAATTGAATAAGTAGGACAGAAGAATGGCTAAGACTGTGTTCTTCCACATTGCAAGAAATGATAACATCTAGAGTAAACTGCGAATTTGACCTTAGTTAAGAGTACAGGCAGTTCTTTTACAGAAATTTGAGAAAAGACCGATTATATGCTTAAAGACACACCTGTGTAGATGAGTCAGCTATGAATGCTGGTAGAATTTGCCTTCTGATTTTCCAAGAAATTGGAAGAAAAATTGACTAAGAGAAAGGGAAAAGACAAAGGTGTTGAATCCACGAGAAGACAAGGAAAGGCATGTGGTGTATGAGAAGAATATGTGAGAAGGGCTAACAGAAATGTGTATGACTGCCTCAAGCATTAATGGGCGACATGAGATTACTAGCTATGAATTTAAAGTGAGAAGAGTCATCCCAGTTCTACCTTTACCCCAGCTATCTTCAGATAGAAGGGTGTCAGAGCAAGTGGAAACATTCATATACTGAAGTATTTGCTAAACAAATAATATGAAATAAGAAAATAGCAATCCAAAAACTGTATTGGTGTGTATGGACAAATATTTACAGTAATTATCCATTAAACTGTGACAATTTAATGAGTGAAATAAATCAGGAAAGGTGAAAGACAGTGAATATAGTATAGGATCAATAGGATGTAGACCCTGTGGAAGCAAAAGTTTGTTGTTTCAAGGGATCTAAATAGAAGATGGGAAGGTGGGAGTCTGGAGAGCAGTCAAGAGAATGATGTTTGAAGTAAAGATAGCATAAATGATGCAGTGATTAGTGTTGAGCAGGACTATGTATGATCATAAGGACAAGGAAAAGAATAAAGTTTTCTATCAGCAGAAAATCATGAGCAATTATGAAAATAAGTAGTTCACTCAAAGATAAAAGCAGCATCTTTCTCTTTTTCTTTTCATTCCCCTCCCTCTTTTTCACCTTCCCATCCCCTTAGCCTTATTTTCAGACTCTTTTCCACATTATCTCTGAGCTCATACTATCCTCAGCCCCTTCACTCTTCCTGTGTGGAGTGCCTGCCCTAAATGCTTTAGGTCAGTGATGGGGAACATTGTAGAGCTTTCACTGATGCAAACTGCCCACTGTGGCATGTATGCAATAGGTTTGCTACTATTGCTTTAGGTGAATTCTCTCATTAAGTTCTTATAACAATCCTGAGACATAGAATTTATTTTCTTTTTATCCATTCTGAAAGGGAGGTATTATGCTTTATATATGAAAAAATACACAAAAGTCACAAATCTGATAGTGAAACTTCAAATCTAGCCATTTGCCCTTAAGTGGCATATTTTTAATCATTATAGGTTATAGGAAACATACTACTAACTGTATACACCTTGGGATAGACTTATATTCAGAAGACTTTGGAAGTGTGTGCGTGTATTCATTCATTATATTTAAACATAAGAACATTCACATTTTTCAGTAGTAGTTTATGGTCTATATGAGTGATGGCGAACCTTTTAGAGCTTTCAATGATAAACACAGGCCACTGTGGCATGCATGGCTTAGGTTTGCCACCACTGGTTTATACTGTATTTTGAAAAATTTACTACAGCTGGATTAGAAGGTGAGAAGCTATTTGGAGAGCCCAAGTCAGTGATGGTAGAGGGGACTGAAGAACAAGGCCTGGCTGAGCTGGGCAAAGGTGGACTGGACAAGACTTAGTGAGGAACTGATGTGTTGAAAAGCAAGAGAGTGAATTATGACTTGGACTTTTTTGCTTGGTCACCTGGATGGAAAGTAATAACACAAACCAAAAAAGAGAGGAAAACATACGTCTAAGGGTGAGACAGTGAGTATAGTCTTGAGTTGAATTTAAAGTGCCTCCAGGAAAACCATGTAAATACATGAGAATGATTGCAAAAAAATATAACTTCCAGTTTTCATACCTGCACACACTGAGCTCCAAAGAATGTATGCAACATCATAAGGTCATGGAGTTGAACAGTTACACAGATAAGACTAAAATAAATGGTTACCTCTGCTTCACACTAATGAATAATCTTAGAGGGCATAAGGCTGTGTGTGTGTGTTTCCTTTTATCTTAAAGTTGAGTCAAATTGAAAAAGAAAATAGAAACTAAAATAGAATATACTTTAGCCATTGCTGACAACTAGAAAGACTTTGGAAATTAAAAAAAAATAGATGGCAGATATTTCATTCTTTCCCTTTTTCAAGGAAGTTGTATATAGACTATTTAATTTGATTCTGTAAACAATTTTATTTTTACAAAACACATCTTTACTTTGTAGGACTGAAGGATAGACCAGAGATGTCACAGTCTCCAAAGTCCCTGCTTTAGACTTCTACAGCCATCAGCTCCTGTGTACATTTAAAGAGAAGGCAGATTATACTGAAATTTATTGGTATCACCTACCTGTTGTCACCCTCTCTGGAGAAAAAGACTGTGAAGGTTTGAATATTTCCTTTTGGTTCTGCAGGTGGTCGCCAGCTGAGACGGACAAATCGACTGGAAACCAGGACAGGGACCACGTCTCTGGGAGCAGAAGGGAGGACGCTGGAGCTGAGGACAGCTATGGAGGAAGGAGAGGGGCATCAGAGGTGTTGGTGCCATGAGTGGGAATGAGGTGGAAGACAGAGGTGAGCTGTTAGCAAGCACAGCCACGTTACTGTCACAGGTTCTAAAGGAAGGCAGAAAGCAGTGAAAAACACAGGATACGGAATTTAAGGCATATTCAAATTCCTTTGGTTTTAATATGGGGGCTACTTAGTGACACACATGATTCCACTGCATATTTGTCCAGTTTTTATTACTCATGGGATCCATGACAATAAGAAAAAAAACTACAGTATATGTGTAGTTCCAGAAAATCCCTTCTCTTACTGAGTTCCAGGAAAGAACTTGCTTTAAAATTGTTAATATAATTCAATATTATGAAAGAATTATACTTCTCATGACACCAAGATATGATAAAACCAATCGTGGATGAGAAGAATATTAGTGATATCAAACCAAAATAATAATTTTAATTCATAATATATTTCTCTGACTCCTTTTTGGCATGAGGTTGGGCTGAATAATAAGTAGATGACTGAGTGAACAAACAAAGCAATGAATGCATCCAAATTGAAATAAAGTAAGACACTGTAATATAGAGTATACACTGAATATGTTTTAGATATAAAATCTACTTTACAGTATCTATTTTGGCAAAGTGAACCTGTATGACGGAGTCCAAAGAAGAGCAAGGAAATGGCCACAATCTCACAGAAATTTTACAAGTTCTTTTGTTTTGTTTTGTTTTTGTTTTATTCCTTTGGGAAAATGTGATTGTACAATTTTAATAAACAGTGAACTCATCTGATTTATGACAAAGAAAATAAAGATGTTGACACCCCTTTCTTATTTTTAATGAACATACTGATTTCATTGTGTTTGATGGTAATCAAGAGGCAGAGCAATTAGATACATATATAAAATGGTATGGACTTTAGTGATCTAATTTAAAACTCAAAGCAATGAACTGCTAACACTCCATTACAAAGCCAAGGCCTTTCATTGTCTCAGGTAGTCAGGTAGTTACTACAAAATATTATTCTATTTAGTCTCTGTTTAGGCTGTTTTTGATACAATTTATGATTACGTACTTTAGAAGCACAGAAAATTAAAAGCAAGAAATTAAGAGTTGATGGTCCATCTGAAACTGCACCATTTGCTCAGCAGCTTCACATTCCGTCTCTCCCCTTTCTCAGCCCCTCACTCTCATTCTATTCGCTACTTCTATGAGATCAATGCTAGTGGATTCCACAGAGATGTTGGACCACACCGTATGTGTCTTCCTGTCCCTGGTTTAGTAGAAATAGGCTTTGAAATCTACTACTCAGATGAGTGACCATAGTCAATAATAATGTACTGTATGTTTCCAATAATTAAGACAGTAGATCGCAAATGTCTCACCTTAAAAGATGATAAACAAGGTGATGGATATATTAATTTGTTTGATTTTAAAATGCTGCATTGTATTCATGTATCGAAACATCACACTGTAGCCTATAAATGGTAAACAATTATTTTGCAACAAAAATTATATTAACAATATGCATTTTTAAGTTGATAAGACTAACAAAAAATAGAAGTTGTTCTAATGGATTATCTACTAGTAAACAAGATTATATAAAAGGATTCCACAGACAAAGTTACACAATTGTACAACACTCATGAAGTATCACTGTACTTAGAGCAAAATCTTATTTGTAGAAATGATTCTGAACATCCACAGTTGGCAAACTAGCCTTTCAAATACTTGAGGCATTTGTAATCAGTGGTATAATTTTTCTATTAATTATGAGGTATGTGTGAACACACGATTCATCCTTGTTCAAGATCTCTGTTTTCTTCTTTAACTCTCTGAGTCCAGGGAACATGGATTAAACAAATCTTGACAGGTGATTTCTAGCCCCCAACTACAAACACACATTGCCTTCATATAATCTTCAAATTGGTTTTATAGACCATTTTTTGTTGTTCTGATAAAAATCAGTCTTCATTCTTGCATTCACTTTGTATAGGAGCCAGCTGAGTTGGTGTTCCTACTGTGAACTAAACTCCTGCTAGCTGGAAAGTCATTTCTTGTGTGGAGGAGAGAGGAATATATCATTTGCCAACAGCTCCAGAAACATGAATTGCCAATTCTTACTACTTATGCAGAGATAGAGAGACCTTAAAGAATGGCAGAGAGCTTTAACAGTTATTCCCAGCACCACAGATTCTTTGGCTACTTCTTTGTACATACAATTTTTCCTGTGCTCTCCTAATCAGCACAGTATTTGAAATAAATGGAAGACTGATGTCCAGCTAGTCAAAGACAGACCATTCAAACCAGCACACTGGAGCACAGTTATTCTCTCCATCCTGCTTCCCTCCTGTACTGCCCACCTAGTTGAGTTCACACAGTCTTTTCACATACACAACCCAGAATACCCCCAAGACATGTTTCTTTCCCTAACTATTCCTTTACTCAGCACATTCTGGTATTTCCCCTTCTAGATACCTCACAAATCTACCCATGCTACTGTATCCAGTCCTGTACTTATATCAATAATACTCTGGTCTTACCCACAACTATCTCTCGCTGACCGAGCTTGCCTTCCATTCACCTTCCTCAAATACATTCTCTCTACAACAGCCAGAATAAGTGTATGCAAATACAAATTTGGTCATATTACTCCAATTTTTATTTATCCTCAATCTTCTTTTTATCCCTTAGCAAACTTCAGATTTCTTAATCAGCTCCCTGGCTTGGTGCCTGCTTACCTTTTCTCTTTGTTTGGCTTCTGCCACAAAATGGGCCTCAGGAAAGTGGTTATGCACAAATACTTTATTTGGGAAGTGGTCTCAAGCACATGAGTGGAGAGGTGAGAAGTACACAGTGTCCCGGGGAACCTTAGACAGCTCCTAGTTACCTGGAGGCTTTTATCACTGTGGGAAACTGAAGGCAATGTCATTTGGGCTCTGGGAATTAGTGTAGGACATGCCAAAGAGTTTTCTATCTGTTATTGCTTCTATTTAGATGTTCCCCTCCAAAGCCTCATGTGAATGAGGTGGGGCTATTTTGGAGGTGGCTAAATCTAGCTGTATGATGCTGGGATTAAGACTGGTTTGGCACTGCCCTAATCTCAGTAGTCTGAATAGATAAAAGGGGCAGAAAGACGCTGTTAAAGTCTCTTGTTGCTTTTGCTGTCTTCCATCACCATGAACTGTTGCCACTCTGCCACCCTGCCTTGGAGCCAGCCAATTATGGACTTAAACCTCTATGAACTATAAGCCAAATAAACCTTTCTCCCTTTAATTTTGGGTGTCAGATATTTTGTCTCAGCAAGGAGAGAAAAGTAACCAAGACACTATCCCCCTAGGGGAAGTAAGTGGGAGTGTTTACCCCCTCTTCTCCACTGCCATTAGTTGAGGGTGAATCCGGGGATTGCGTCTTCTTGCAAAATTATCAAATATTTCCTGTGGCCAAGAAACCTGCCATTGTGCAGAGGCTTGCAGGAATCCTCAGTAAGCAGTGTTCATTCACTCTATTTACCTGGCCAAAACTGATCTAACCTTTGCAACCCTTGTTCTAGGGACAGAGGAGAGGATGATGAGCAACAGATGAGGCCATTGTCCTCATGGAGCTTCTGTGGCTGCTCCCCAGCATTTTGATTCTTACACAGAGCCTGTCCTTCTCATGCCTAACTACTGAAAATTGCCAGAGCCTTCACACAAGCAGTTCCCGCCCTAATAAGCCCATCCCCAGGTAACTCTTACTTTCCCCTCTTGGCTTAGTTGAAGTGCTTTCTCCTTTGGAAAGATACACAAACTGTATAACAGAAAATAGTTAATACTCTGAAAATCTTTAAAGTCAATAACGTAGAGAATATCTTTCTTTAAAAGTAGGGTTAAACCTCACAAATAATGAAAGAAATACACATATAAAAACCTAAAATTCCTCTGTCCTGGTGGCAAGACTTTAATATCTCACACTGTACCAGCCTCATACATGGTCAGTTGGTTTGTAGTATTCCACCTTTTTAGAAGCCAATTTGGCAAATTCCTTTAAGAAAAACATATTTATAATCATTTGGCCAAACATTCTTTTTTCTATAAATTTAAAATTTAGAAAGCAACAAATGCTGGCTTCATTAATACATCGACCTGAAATGACTGCACATTTACTCAAAATGTAGTATCTATACAATTTACCAATTTAAAGATAAAAGGATCATTTAACTGATATTTTAGAAAAAATTTAAATTATATTAATGATGACTTGGAAAAACTTTACTGAGAATTTTCAAGAAGTTAGAAAAAAGAAAAGGTTTCAAAGAACAGGAGTGAAGTCTTCAAATCATTTTCCTCAAGAATGCCTCAATCATATGTGGTATTGTCATCAAACATGAGTCAACTTCTCCGCCCATGCAGGGACTGCCAAGCTTACACACAGAGAGATGCCCTTCTCCCCAGGCGGTGGGGAGTTGCTTCTCACAGAACTGGTGGAGACTCAGATGATTCAGATAAATCTCAGAATAGAATTAATCACAAACTCTTTACTTCAATCTAAACAGATGTTATATAAAAAAGGAGGGACACATTTTTAACAAAGGAATGGCTTCTTTATACAGGGAAAATAATTTTGTTCTTGCTAATCCTCCATGCTTTCTCGCAAAAGTAACTTGTCTTCAAACAAGGTCTCAATAAAGAACCAATCAGGACCCCTTTTCTTCACTCTTGGAGGCTTAATCTCCACTCTGGCCCTAATCTCTCTAGCCCATTAATGTTGCCATGGCTACGGCTTTTTTATCTGTTGTCATGGGGAAGACAAGGTGAATTTGCTACACTATAAGGTAGCCTTTTTTAAAAGAACACTTAAAAAATTTTTTTTATCACAGCAAAATCCAGACAAGCAATTTCTAAAGTGAATACAAATTTTAAAGAGTAGTCTTAAAATAAAAATAATATTTCAATATGTCTAGGCAGTAATCTTGATAATAATTATGCTACTGGGTTAATTTTTCTATAAAGCCACAATCT